GGTATCTATTATATGTAACAAAAAAAAAAAAAAAGAAAAGAAAAGAGATGATCTGTGGTCTATATCTTATGCACTTATCCTTCGATTAGATGATATTAATAAATATACAACCCCTAAAAAATTGCTTAAGAAATGTTAATATACAAACTAAACTGCAGCTGCTGCATATGATGAAGCAGCCATTTTAATGAGCGGGCGAAATGCAAAGACACACTTCCCATTAACTCATCATCATCAAAACTCTGATGGAGAACCAAACACTAGTAAAGATCATGAATCACAAACAAAATTAATACCCCCAAAACCCTTATCAGAAATTTGTATCTACCTTATCATAGCAATCAGCTCAGAGCCGGCGCAACTTTTTGAGAACACACTATAAATATAAAGCCATTTAATTGATATGGGCATTCGATTAACAAGTGAGTGATTGTAAAAGTATACTAGTATTTGTTAAGATATATTTAAATTGATTAATGAATACTTATTATACGCAAAGACAAATGGAAAATTTGGTTAAAAAGCTTCAATTGAGACGTGAATAGCGATCATATATTAATCTTCTGTAATCCAGACGTCATTAAAAGGCAGAATAGATGAGTAGTTTAGATAATATCTTCATATATTAATAGCGATCAGAATTCAAAAAAGAAGCATATTTCAAATGAGGCAAGTCCTCCAACTGTACATTTTCGCCATTACAACAGGAGTTCTTCACCGCAGCGGCCACCTCCTCAACGCCGGTTTCAACCTCAACTGGCGCCATGGCAGCCGCCGGCGTGAGTCCTGATATCTGCTGGTTATTCGACCACGAAGCCTCCGCCTCCGCCTCCACTTGAGCCAAACGATGCTGCCACAGTTCCTTCTAGTCTTGTTGCTCAGCTGCAGCACGAAGTTCGGCGGGAATCTGAAGATCAGAGAAGAAAGACCATACCCCGCCGCCTCTAAAATATTTGATTTTTTCGCCATAGGAAGGAATCCCAGGACGGGACAAATCCGGATCTGAACGGCATTCGATGTGTAATTGCTTGAATGATATCTTAGGCGTGTAATTGTTGATTCAAAGAATTCAAAAAAGAAGCATATTTCAAATGAGGCAAGTCCTCTTAACTGTACATTTTCGCCATTACAACGGGAGTTCTTCACCGCAGCAGCCACCTCCTCGACTCCGGTTTCGACCTCAACTGGCGCCATGGCGGCAGAGGGGCCTGTATCGACGGCCTTAGCCGCCGGCGTGAGTCCTGATGTCTGCTGGTTATTCGACCACGAAGCCGCCGCCACTTGAGCCACACCGATGTTGCTACTGCTCCTTCTAGCCTCGATGATCAGCTGCCACACGAAGTTCGGCGGGGAACTGAAGATCGGAGAAGAAAGGCCGTACCCCGCCGCCGCCACTAAAAAAATTGATTTTTTCGCCATGGGAAGGGATCTCAGGACTGGACAAATCCGGGTCTGAACGGCATTCGAATGACGGAAAAGCCCTGGCGCAGCTAGACTAGACTAGACACAGTCATTAGGGTTCGAAATGATTGACGGAGGGATGAAAATGAAATAAAATGGTAAATCTTGGGGCCTGTAAAGACTTCCCGAAATTGTTTCCTCTCTAGTCCTGTAGAGAAATCTTCAATCTCAAATTTAGCATACATGAAATCATTACACATAATTACAATTATTTTTCTTACCTTAAGGGTCTTGTCGGCCTCAATATTCAAACTTTGGATCTTGGAAAAACATAGAGGTGTCAAGACGGACGGGCCGGCCATGACCCGTGAAAACCGGGACCGCGGGCCGACCCGTGACCCGTGCGGGCGGTTCACGGGCCAAGGAGGTG